GTCTGTATCTCTACCCTCTGACTCAAGGCTACACATGACTTGCTTTGACTAAACTATGGCAGGAGCAACACTGAGACTTCTCAGCTTGAGCCTGAAGGAGCCTTGCAGCTTTCACTTTTGGATCCTTGGAAAGCTCTGCGTCCAGGTGAATTTAGAGTGAGCCTGAGGTGGATAAGAGACCACATGGAGCTGAGATGAGTCATTCCTGCTGAGCCTTCCAAGCACAGAGTTGTCCTGGCTGCTGACCACAAATGTACGAATGAACCCAGGCAAAACCAGAAGAACCCCCTAGCAGAGCTCAGCCCAAATTGCTGACCCACAGAATTGTGACCAGAATGGTTGTTGTTAGCCATTAAGTATAGGAATAGTTTGCTATATAACAAAAGCTAACCCTCTCCAATGTAAATTTTGAGATTCCTTGCAGTTAAAAACAAACAGGGATAGGCTAAAAGGCCATTGAAGAGTTCGCTGATCATTGCTTATTCATACATTCTGCTATCTTCAAGCCCAGTGTGATTCAGCGTTAGAGTTCCCTACACCCAAATAAGCTGGGTCTTCAAGCAACTCACAGTGACCTAGTCCAGCCTTTCCCTCTCATAGGCTCCATGTGGTAAGGACAATTTCTCACAACTCTCTGAATCTCCTCATAGTACCCAGCACAAAGCCTTCCTTATATCATACATTCTCAATAAAATTTCTGAATCAATAGAAGAGATTTTAATCCTTAGGAGAGCTAGAACCTTCCAACAGCTTTGAAGTGCAGTATAATGGTAGTCATGGTAGTAAAATTCAGCAACTTTTACAAGTGATGGAAGAAAGCCATGCATACTGGCAACTCCAGGGTTTATGAGATTCAGTCCTTCAGTTTTAACAATGTGGTTTTTAAAAGCACTTTTAAGTCTTGGAAGACAGTTCAGGTCAAGTATAGAATCAGCAATTTAAATATGTACAAAAGGATTTATGATCTGTACTTTTTGAACATGACTAAGTTTTAGCAAAAAGCAAACAAAAACAACTGGAATCAAGCTTCACATCTAACTGGATGGTGCTTAATTATGAAGTCCTGCTCTTGCTTAGTGCACATTTAATTGGAACCATAATTCTGGAACACCATGTCAAAGCTTTCAAGAGACTGTCACCTCATGAACAAAATAGGCTTTATCTGTGAAAACTCAGAATTAACTTCTTAAAATTGAACATTATGGCATTTTCTTTTCTATATCAAAATGGTTTTATTAATATAAAATCAACATCAGTTTTTCACCCAAACAAGAGTTTCAAGTTTAAGAAAAGATACAGCTCTACTTTAAATGCAATTCAAGAGTGTTCCACCACAATAATTACCATCAGCTAAAAAAGACTGAGGCACAAAAAAGCAGTACCTTTCACAATGACTCTGCTTTAAAATTTTAGAGCTGAGCCAGAAACCTAAAGTTGCTAAGTTGCTGGCAAAAATTAAATAGTGTCTGGTAACTGAACTGAATAATGGGTACTCAAAAATGCTGTGCCATCATTAACTGAACACTGGCCATGTGCACCTGCAAACTCAGGTGGACAGAAAAGGCACAGATCATCTCTGGAAAAATCAGGGTGACCTACAAGCCGATGCTGAATATTTTTTACACTTGGGATCTGAGCCAATGAGAAAGATTAGTGGATCAAGGGCCAAACATGGAGTATGACATGAGGGCCACTGTGTAGTCTCTCAGGGGTTTGTAACTGCTATTCTCCATAGTAACCCCTTCACTGGGGCCTACTGCTTCCTAGACCTGGTCCTATGTCAATTCCTAGGTGATGCCAATTTCATTCATTCATTCAACCAAAATCTGGCGAGCACCTGTTCTGCTAAGTGCTATTTCCTGTGAGATAATTCAGTGATGCATTTTCCTGAAAAAAAGACGTAAAGGAGGAAGTAGGAAAAATAACAATTTAGGGGATTGCTTAATCCATGTAAGAAATAACAAGTATTTCTGAAACAAACATGTGGACATATTTAAGCTTCATTCAGAATGAATTAAGTGAAAAATAGAAGAAATCTCTCACTGGTACCTGTATCCCAATTCTTCACTAAGGTGGATCATATGAAGGATATAAGATTCCTTGCTTGTTCCGGTGAGGCCAGGCAACAGTAAGACAGTAGGTCTGCTGCTGGCATCCGTATAACATTTACTGTTATCATTATCAAACCAGTCCAGTGAAATCTGTCCTCCATCTGCAGTTTTAATGAGTTCACTGAAAGCAATAATTCAACAGATATATTCATTAAGTGTTTCAAATCATGTCTTAATATTAGTTCTTAATTTATATATACATATGACATATATGACATTATTTGGTGATCTCAAAATAACTTTTTCCCAGTATTCATGAACACACACAGCACTTTCTCTCATTACAAGAATATCATGGAATTAGTACCATAAAGTATTTCCAGCAACATCAGTAAAAGGTAGCATATAAAAATGAACTTCAGGTTTCCCAGCCATCTTGGCAGCTCTTGGTTGGGACTCGTCCCACACCTAAGTCAGGAAGATGATGGCTGCACAGAAGACGAAAAAGTCGCCGGAGTCCATCAAATCTAGACTCCAACTTGTTATGAAAAGTGGAAAGTATGTGCTGGGGTACAAGCAGACTCTGAAAATGACCAGACAAGGCAAAGCAAAACTGGTCATCATCGCGAACAACTGCCTGGCTTTAAGGAAGAAAATCTGAAATAGAATATTATGCCATGTTGGCCAAAACTGGTGTCCATCACTACAGCGGCAAAAATATTGAACTGGGCACAGTGTGTGGAAAATACTACAGAGCATGCACACTGGCTATCATTGATCCAGGTGATTCTGATATCATTAGGAGCATGCCAGAACAGACTGGTGAAAAGTAAATTGTGTACAATTTTTCTTTAATAAAATTGGGCAGAGCTTGTTTAAAAAAAAATGAACTTCAAAGTATTTCAAACATTTATCTTAATCATTTTCTCATTACTCTAAAATACCCAGCATATAACCCCTATTTGATTGAGATCACCCAAATAATTCAATAGGGAATTATGAATAAGTAAAATGCTGATCTGATCACCACTCTAGCTCTTTGACTCAGTAATGCAGTCTCCTCAGAGTATATTACAAAATTTGTTTCTTAAACATAGTAAAATACTTCTCACATAGTATCTATGAACTTGAAGAATTTTTCCAAACAAATAGTGCAAGTTCCAGGCAACAAAAGAAACTCCAGAAGGACTAGATGACTCAGGAAAATTAATAATAGGCATCATTTAAATCTTCTGGTTACTGATAGATGCTGGATCGTATCTTTAACACCTCAAGGACATTATCTTCAAGAATCCATTTGCTCATCAATATGAAGTCCTTTTACGGGGGTCCACACAAAATCCAAAATAACTGGCTTCTTCTCACCCCCACCCCCATCTCAATGAATTGGTGCGTATCTTCAAAGGATCTATGTCCTCAGGAACAGATGCATGACAAATTGGAAAAGAGTAACCCCCAAACAGTTCTCTCATCTTAGAAATAAACCATTTATATCAGAGCACCCCTACAAATGGTGAAAGTATTTTCCTGTAGCTGAGTGTGCGTGGCGGACATACCTTCCATTTTCATTCCCCGTCTTTTCTACATACTTAATAAACCAGAGGTTCCATTAACCAAGAACTGGGAGCATGCAAAAAAACTATGATTTTGAAGAAATGACTGAAAATGGAAATTTACTTACTTCCTGTACTGCACCGGGGGCTTGGAAGTGATGAAAGGTCTCAGCAGTGTCTGTCCTCGACTCTCCCAGCACCAGACGGTCGGGTAGTACGTTTCTGTCACCACGGGGCAGTGGTCCTGAAGGAAGCGGCTGAAACTCTCGCCCCCTGTCACTAACTGGGGCTTCTGTGGGAAAAGCGGTATTAGTGAAGGGTCCAGAACAGAGTGAAGTTTCTGCCAACCGTAAATCAGAAACAAGCGCAGACTCGACCCTCATGCGCGCGATTCCTCGGATTACAAAATCTTCTGGAAGCCTCACGCCAGAAATTCAAACACAACGAACTCAAGCGTGCGTTGTCGAACCCTCCAGGGAAAGGTGTAAGGGACGGAAGGGAATCATTCTCGAAAGTGCTAAAAGGAGCATTGCCGAGCAGGTTTGCCGGGTTAGCGAATGGTGGCAGAGTAGTGTCGCCCGCGCAGAGGTCAGCAGGGTCCTGTGCGCGCTCAAAGGGCATCCATGAGATGTCGGGGGAAAGGACAACAACTCGGGAGCGGCATGCTCGCCCCCAGGACGGCCGCAGCCACTTGTCCCTGCCAGCGGTAGCCTCCGACTTTGCCTGTTACCGCTTCCGGCAAAGCTGCCCGCGGCCCTGAGCCTGGCGCCCGTGCCATCCCCCCGGCTCACCTTGGCAATGCTGCTCAGGTAGTAGCAGGCGTAAGCGACGCTGAAGCCCAGGATCAGGGATAAGCCCACTCCAGAACCGAAGAAACCAACCCGGACTTGATGCTCCAGGTAGAGGGAGAGCTCCCGGGAGAGCAACCTCAGGTCCATGGCTAAGCGCTGCATGGCCCGGGGACCGAGCGCGCGGCTCCTGCGGCGGGAGGCCGGCCAGTCGGCGAGCGAGTGAAAGCTGGCGCGGCGCCGCCGCGGACCCTCGACCAGAGCGTCTCCTGCCGGGCAGAGCTCGGCTTCCGCCCTCGGGCGCGGCCCAGAGGCCCCGGGAGGCGTAGCCCGGCGGGCTAGACGCCGCCGGCTCCGCCCTGGCTTCCCCGGGGCCGCCCCCACCGCGAGCCACTCAGGAGCCTTCCAGAGTCGCGGTTCCCAGCCCCGCCACCGAAAGAGCGAACTGGGTCTCTCGGCCAGGTCGCAATCGGCCTGAGTGAGCCCCCGGAATGGGGAGAAGCAGACGCCGACTTCGGAGAAGGAAATGGGCCTGGCAGCGCGCGTTCAGGTCCCCGGGTGGGCACCTGACCAGTGACCTTGAACGATCCTGCACGGCGGAGGGTCTCGTTAATCCTTCCTGTAAACTGGCCGGTTTAGAGTGCTCGGGAAGTGTGCCTTGGAGTTAAAGATTTGGGGAGTTAATGCCAAAGATAGGAGAACGCACCACGTAGTAAAATTCAGTAAGTAAGTAACTAAGTAAGTAAGTAAGTAAGTAACTAATTAAAAAATCCTACATCCTCCAGGAAGCTATGTGGCCCCCAAAGACTATAGAAAGAGGAAGAACAGTCTATAAACAATCAACAGTGAGGGCATTCATACTTGACTTTAAATTTCTGAATTATGCCTTAAATGAGAAGTGGTTCCCGAAAGTAAATGAGGAGATCAAGAATAGGAACTGAGATTCAAAAGATTTTAAAGCCTATTTGTGGTTCATTAATGCTTTGAATTTACAGACATATGGAGATTCACAGTTACCTAATGTAGTCCTCCTGGGCTTATTTATGGCAACGTGACTGAAGGCAGGAGATACTCATAGGCATCTGAAAGGATTAGAAGATTCAGCAATTCGTTAATATGAGCTCGTCCCACCAAGAGGTAACCAGTGTGACAAGACTCAAACAAGCAAAATGAAAATGGCAAGGGCCGTATAGACCGACAAATTTCACAGAATTGTAAATTAATGATAGGGAATTGGATTGGGTCAGAGTGAGCAATTTATCTTATTTGGCTTTGATTTGGATATTGCAATTTGATGGTTGCCAGTGCCCAGAGTAATTGTTATCTTCCCTGAGCCTGTTTTAAAAAAAAATGTGTAAAATAGTAATTTCTGCTTTATAGAATTAAGATGACTAAATGAAATACTGTATGTACCAGCCTCCCCCTGAATGTAAGTAATTTTCTTTCCCTCAGTGGCTCCTGTACTTGAGCACACCCAGAAATTCAAACGTACATGGCGGTTGCCATACTTGACAATTTATGTGCAACATTCTTTGCAATGCCTGTAACTGCCTTCTCCCCTGCCCACCAATAAATACACGTATATTTCTTTTTGCTTAAGTTTGAAGTTAAAATATCATAAATAAGGTATTTCATAGGCATCACAGTATGTAGAAAGCATGTTGACTGGAGAGTAAACAACTCTGAACTCATCCACCAAAATTAGGCAAATCATTTACTCTTTTAGAGCCTCAATTCCTTATCTATAAAATAAGATGGTTGAAATGGAAAATGTCCAAGTTTCTTTCCTGTTAGAAGCACATTCGTAATCTTCCTTAAGATGAGAACTATTATGTCTAATTTAGATGAGGAAATGAAAGCTCAGACCCCAACACAACCCCAATGGTCTCTTCCTCCAGATAATCCCTTTCGATAATTCCCTCCTCTTGAGTGCAGGTTATGACCCGTGAGTTACTTCTGTCTGACAGAATATGGTTAAAGTGATGGGATGTCACAACGCCTGTGATTACATTATATGACTCTAGCTAAGAACACTGGCGCTAAAAACTCTCCTGTCCACCCTGAGGAAGCCAACAGCCATATGAATTGCCCATGGAGAGGACCATATGGCAGGGAACCAGTGGTGGTCTCTAGGATTTGTGGGCAGCCTCTAGCTGACAACCAGCAGAAAGATGGGCTTCAAAGTCCTGTAAGGAACTGTAAGGAAGTGAATTATGCCAACATTCTGAATGAGCTTGGAAGCAGATTCTTCCCTAATTAAGCCTTCAGGTGAACACACAGCCTGACCGACATCTTGACTGTAGCCTTGTGAAACCCTGAGCAGAGGACCCAGCTAAGCTGTGCCTGGACCCCTGACCCACAGAAACTGTTGAATAATAAATACATGTTGTTTTAAGCTGCTAAGTTTGTATTAATTTGTTACATAGCAATAAAAAACTAATAGAGAACATAAAAGGTCCCAAAAGCATTGAAAGATTAATAAATATCAATGGCTCATTTTTACCTACCAAAGTATTTTCTGTAGGAATGTATTAAATAAGTTAAAGATTTCAGTTCTTTCAGTCAATATGCAAAATTAAGAAACCACTGAAAGATTTTTGTTTTTTTCTTTATACTTCTCTTTTCTAAACTGTCACAATGAATATGTACTTTTTAAACAGTAGAAAAGTTACATGTATATTTCAAAATACAAAGCTAATTGCAAAGGAGTAAATCACATGAAAAGATATAAAGCTAAAAGTAAGAAAGGCCAAAACATTCTAAGACATAATGGAAGGCAAGTTTTAAATAAGAACACACCTTCACAAATTTTGCATAATGTGCCCTGGTTCCTTTTCTTGAGGAATGGTATTTAGAAACCAAAAACTCAGCGCTGGGTGTGGTTATTGCTACTGGAGTGTCATTGTATTTAGGCCATCTCAGCTGACAGAGCTAGGAAATATATCTATGTCCTTGTGTGTGTGTATCTATATCTATATCCACACATATCTATAATTGTTTCTATATCTATCCCTCTGTATTTACATTAAGCTAAAGATGAGTTCAGAATATAATTCTTTTATGTGGACTCCCTGAAGGTTTTAGGAGGAATTAAACCTCTTAGTTAGCAATGTTTCTGTTTTTTTTTTTCCTTTTAATTTTTGGGTAAAGCAAAAATTCTATCTGTAATAGGGAACACCCTATATCCTTAACCTTCTCAGTTATATGGCAAATCAGAAGCAGAAATCAGGCAGAGGACAGAATGGCTTATACTGACAGAGAATGCCAGAACTGAAAATCAGAAGACATACACTTAATGAAACACAAAATTTTAGGTTACATTCAATTTAAAAATATTGTAGTTCTATATGGGTTGTTATAAAAAATTACAGATGATCACCAAATTATTTATTAATAAACCACTGTGACCCCCAAATCCTCAGTTCTAATGCTGATTGCACTAACTGCAGTCCTATCTTTAGCACTAACAATCCCTAGAACTAACCTTAGCACTAACAATGTGATTTCCAACTGATTGATCTCTTTGAGAGGAGCACTATAACCTAGGAACTGAAGCCAAAAACTTCAGGATGAGAAAAGGAGTTAAAATATGGAAGGGCTCAAGTAACAGTCAAAAAGTCATTTGGAAAGGAGGAATGTACACATGGCCCTGTAGAGGCCTAAGCAAGAAACAAGTTGAACTCCTTGAAGGCTTCAGAAGTGGTCAAGAGGGCAGATGAGTCTGTGGCCCAATCCATACTGTTTAGATTTATCACTGTAATCTTTAAAGCTTCCCTCAAGGCTAACTTGTGTTTATTAGATTCAGACTATGGCAGCCAAGAAGTATCCATAATAGGGAGATAAATTAGCTTGCTTCCTCCAAGGTAACTGGAGTCATTTGGGAATACATTCCTATGGAGAGGATTAATTTATAGACTATAACCCAACTGGAGGAACATAAAGTTGATGCTTCCTCTTCCTCCTTCCTCAGAGGAAAGCCGAAGACATTCTTTGTGTAAGATAGAATGACATACAGACCGACAGAAAGAAAAATAAAAAGCATCATATCGGTTTCAATGAAATGGTTGTGATCAAAATTATCTTAATAGAAGTTCAATATAGTTACACTTCATGCAAAGATGCAGCTTTCTGATCATATGCAATTGGAAAAATAAATATTTTTGGCTACCCTAACACCCTGCCCTGCTAATTCCCAAATAACTTGTTTATAAGTCAATGTGCCCCTAGTAGGCAAGTGTGGAGTTATCATGTGAAACACTGCAAGGATGTGCTAAAATCAGTTCTTCAGCAAGGAAACTCATTTAAATAAAAAAAAAAGGGAAAAGGAAAAGAGAATAGTCTGTTTTTAGCTGAATACCTCCAAACTTCTCTGTATATTCACTCACACTTGTATTACTGATGGGATGTAGTCCTTGAGGAGGTAGAAGGGGGAGGATGATACTCAAACACAGGTGAAGGTAATGTCCTTTCCTACTTCATAAAAGATCACAACCTACAGTAGGCAGAATTCTAAGATGTCTTCCTCACAAGGCTCCTCCCTCTGATGTATAGGCACACCTCGGAAATACTGTGAGTTTGGTTCCAGATCCCTGCAATAAAGCGAATATCACAATAAAGTGAGTCACACAAATTTTTTGGTTTGTAGAATTGTTTATTTATCCCTTCAATTCTATCAGTTTTTGTTTCATATATTTTAGTGCTCTATTGTTAGGTGATATATGTTTACAGTTGTTACACCTCCTTGCAGAATTGACCTTTTTATCAATATATAATGTCTTTCTTTGACTTTTGTAAAAAAAAATTTACTTAAAGTTTATTTTGTCTGCTATTAGTCTAGCTATCTGGCTCTCTTTTGGTTACTATTTGCATGTTGTAGTGGGTTGAATAGTGACTACAATGAAAAAAAAGTGAGGTACTTTATGGCAATAAAATATACACATTTAATTATTTGATCACTGAAAAAAAATACTGACTACAAAAAGATATGTCTAAGTCCTGATACTTGTGAGTGTGACCTTAGTTGGAAATAGAGTATTTGCTACAGATAGGTTAAGGGTCTTGAGATGAGATCACCTTGGTCTTAGGGCGGGCTTTAAATCCAGTGATAGGTGTCCTTACAAAAGAAAGGAAAGGGATATTTGAGAGACACACAGAGAAGAAGGCAACGTAAAGATGGAGGCACAGATTGGAGTGATGCACCCACAAGCATGGAATGCCAAAGATGCTGGTAGAAACCTGCAGCTAGGAGAGAGGAATGGGACAGATTATCCCTCAGCCCCTCCCGAAGGAACTAACCTGGCTAACACCATTATTTTCAGTTTCTGGTCTCCACAACTGCAAGAGAATACATTTACATTGTATTTAGCTACCCAGTTTATAGTAATTTGTCATAGAGAACTAATTAATACACATGGAATACATTTTTCCATCATTTCACTTTCCACCTATTTGTATCTTTGATACTAAAGTGAATCTCATAGACAGCATATAGTTGGATCATGTCATGCTCATTTGTTGTCCATTTGGTCAGTCTCTGTTTTGTTTCTAAAAACAACTTTACTAAGGTATAATTCACATACCATACAATTCACCTGCTTAAAGAGTACAGTTCAATGGTTTCTAGTATATTACATTATAAAATTTTTAAAAATTATAAATAAGTACATATTTATGTAGTAAATACTTACAGTGTTTTCTTATATGTATCATATGTAGTCAAATACATATAATAAAATGTGTCAGTTTAACCATTTTTAAGTGTAAAATTCAGTGACATTAATTATTTACAATGTCATACAATCAAAACCATTTTCATTTACAAAACTTTTCCATTGCCCCAAGCAGGAACTCTGTAAACACTGAGCAATAACTGCTCATCACCTTTCCACCAACCCCTCTGGTAATTTCTAATCGACTTGCTATTGCTATGAATTTGACTATCATAGGTACCTCAGATAAGTGGAATCATAGAGTATTTACCCTTTTCTGTCTGGTATTTCACCTATTATAATGTTTGCAAGGTTCATCTATGTTGTCGAATCAGTACTTCATTTGTTTTTATAGCTAGATAATATTCCATTGTGTGTATATACCACATTTTGTTTATCCACTTATCTGTTGATGAACCCTTGGGTTATTTCTACCTTTCAGCTATTGTGAATAATGTTGCAATGAACACTGTTATACAAATACTTGTTTCAGCAACTGCTTTCAATTTCTTTGGGTATATACTTAGGGATGGAATTGCTGGATCACATTGTAATTCTTGTTTCACTTTCTTTTTATTGTGTCAAAATATACATAGCATCCAATTTGTCATTTTAACCATTTTTAAGTGTACACTTCAGTGGC